AACATAATCCACTGTGTGAACGAATATTAGAAGTTATTAATCAGCAATTACTTCAATTCTCTAAATTAATTAGCATTTCTAAATGCTAATTACAATGACAAACCGATCATGCCGTATTTGAAGTATAAAAACATTATGGTTTTTGAATATTACACATATTTTTAATGTTATTATAAAATATAATTTAATATTATCATTATATAACTGTGTAAAAATGGTTGACACTAATAAATGTGTGCATCGCGAGTGTTACCTTATTTACTAATAACATTATTCAAAACTGTTATATGATTATTTATTTTCACTTAAATGCCATCTTGTACAGTAGCAAAAAGTTTTACTTCAATCGCGTGTGAGCCTTTATTTCGCAAGAGTGTGAACGCGCACTCTTTATTTTATTTTTATTGTTTTTGACTTTTACACAGGTGACTAGAAATCCTAGATGCAGACGTGTCCGATCAGCAGAAACGAATGGTGTTCGAACCAGAAGAAAAGTCAGGGCGGTGGACAAAGCTGGTCACTACAATGTCACCATTCACCACGTGGCACATAAATCCCTCACTTTCATGAAAGATATTTTCAACACATTGGTAAGAAAAAATCAAGAACTTATAATTATCCCCTTTATACCTTAACATTGATGTCATCCTTTATCCAGGTAGATGGTCAATGGCGTTACACCTTGACAGTATTCGCCCTGAGTTTTTTCCTGTGCTGGACAGGATTTGCTCTTTTATGGTGGCTGGTGGCAGCGGCACATGGTGACCTAAATCTTGACGAGAATGGACAACGACTGGATGGAAAAAGTAGACCTTGTGTTGAAGGAACGACGAATTTTGCTGGGTTTTTATTATTGAGTATAGAGACTCAGGTGAGGGAACAGAAACTACTCGAAACGAAATGGAAAGTTATTCTAGAAAAAGTACAGAATTTTAAGGAAATAAAAATTAGTGATATATAAGTCATAGTGATCTCAGCAAATATGAAACTAGTTGGTATTAGTATTTCTGCCTTGAGGCAATTTACATGAACTTCCCGATATATGTAAATGATCGACTTAATCAATAAAATTTAAATTAAATTTTAAGTGATTAAATGTATTCCGATTGGATTTATTACACATATTTGGAAACGAACGAACACATTAACTCGGAGTATTTTCTAAGAGCAAATTTTCAAAAATCAACAATTTTCATAATTGAACCAGTTTCTGCAGGACTTTAATGGTTTAGTATGTTCATTAAGACCAAGTACTCTATCGTTTAAAACAAGTAAATCGTCTAATTTTAATTTTAACAAATATCAAACAAAACTACTTATTTTCTCAAACTTTGATGAATTTTCAAATTAAATTACTTGTCGTAAGGCCGTAATATTCCAGTAAGTTCTATAAGACCACGAAATATATCGCCAAAAAAGTTCCATAAAAATTGACTCATATATTTTTTTAACAGTTAATTATAAGAAAACGGCTCGGTAGATATTCATCTGGAACTAATCAGTATCATTCCCAACTAATATCTTTCCAACAGTTTTTGTTTTTTTTTAATCGACTCGGTAGTATGAAATGTGGACGAAAAGTTCAACTTTTTTTTCCAAATTACAAAGAAACGGCTCGGCTGCACAAAACTGAGAAAAGGTAATCCACATCAAATACATCAATTAGCTTTCAAAATTTTGAAATTGATGAAAGTTCTAATTTTTACAAACGCCCAAAAAAACGATACTAATATTTGCAAACTTTGAAGAATTTTTAAATTAAACGACTTGTCGTAGGGCCGTAATATTTTAGTATGATCTATAAGACTATGGTATCTACCGTCAAGAAAAAAATCATAAAAATCGTCGAATTTTTTTTTTACTCTTTTTTACAAGAAAACAACCCGGCCGATCTTTACCAAAAACTAATTAGATCGATTCCCAACCAATATCTTTCGAACATTTTTGAATTTTCAAAATCAATTCAGAATTGCGGGCTAGAACGTGGACGAAAATGTTTCCACTTTTCTGCGAATTGCAAAGAACGGCTCGACCGATCGTCGCACAAAACTAAGAAACGCTAGTCCTAAGCGAAGTGCATCGAATAGCTTTTAAATTTTTGAAATCGGACCAGCCATTTTTGAGAAAACGTCGATTTACGGCAAAAAATTTGTTCACACACACAAACTTTTTGCAAATTTGGTCTCATTCAATTCAGAACGGCTTGTGACATCGGCAAAAAATAAAATTAGGGAGTCGGATTTTTTGATGAAAATACAAACTCCTCCTTCGGGAAGTTAAAAATAGTTTCGGACAAATTTTGAATATTTCTTGACTGAAATCTAATCAATTAACTGATAACAGCAATAATTATTGATAATTTATATTAAATTAAGTATTTATCGCTTAATGATGATAAAATATTTGCTTACTGCGGGAATGAAGATAATAAACTAGATGTAACTAGCATTTAGTCTTAAGAAAAATTTGACACAAATGCACAAGCCAATTCAGGTTTTAGGACAAAATATCAAAAATGACTCGAAATAACTTTTACAAAAAATGTGTTCACGCACATACACACACATATACTTTTTGCAAATTTGGTCTCATTGGATTCAGAATAGCTTGAAATGTCGAGAAAACATAAAATTAGCAAATCAGATTTTTTGATAAAAATAAACCTCTTCTTCGGGCTGTTAAAAAGTTTGCAAATATTCACATGACTATTATTTTTTTTAAAGATTTTTTTTCTGAAAAGGTATCAATCGGTTACGGTCTCCGTTACCCAAACGAAGAATGTCCAGAAGCAATATTTCTACTGGTGATGCAGGTGGTTGCTGGAATTGGAATCCAAGGCGCAATGGTTGGAATTATTTACGCAAAAATGATCAGGCCCTCTAAACGACTGACGGAAGTCATTTTTAGCAAAATAGCTGTGGTAAATGACTGATTTGACTAGAATATTTATACCTTTATAATGAATTTTCCTATTAGATTTGTCTATTTGATAATTATGTCTTTTTGATGACGTTTAATATTTTTTTACTATTTATAGATTTGCCAAAGGGATGGTCACCTTTGTCTGATGTTTCGCGTTTGTGATCCTAGGTACACTCATATAATTTGTTCTGATATCAAAGCATATTTATTGGAAAACAAGTTGACACCAGAAGGTAAATTCGTGATAGATAAAGATAGGTATCATCAATTATTATTAATAGCTTTTTCAATTGTTTTTTTTATTCTTATAGGTGAAAGATTGAAATCTTATCAATCACCACTTCGACTGGAATCTGATGGTCATCTCTTGTTATTGTGGCCAGTTGCAGTGGTCCATGTGATAGATGAAGACAGTCCTTTTTATGATCTGTCGGCGAAAGATTTGCTCGAGAAAAAGTAAGTTACTATAATAATATATTGCATCCATATTTAATTCCTCTTTCTCTTAAAAAACGAGTGCAATAAGAGTAAATGGTACTGGATCACCCCAAGAACTTTGAAAATGTGACAAATAAAAATATATTTGTCTTTCAATCATTATCCCGAATATTTTTTTATTATTGTATTAGGATAATTTATTATATATTTTCAATAACCAGGTTTGAAGTAATCGTAACCTTTTCTGGAAGTTCAAGTGCCACAGGGCAATTGACACAGTCCCGAACATCCTATCTGCCAAGAGAAATTTTGTGGGGACATCGATTCCAAAACTTATTAAGGTAATAAAAGACTTTATTCAAAATTAATAAAGCACAATACTGATTAGGTTCAGTTAAAGGATGACCAAAAACTTAAAAAAAAAATTAGAACGTTGAAACTCTATCTATAAAGGTTTGACGAAGGACTCCAATGTTATGTAGCTGATTGCGAACTCCTCAACAGGACTTATGCTTTTGATACACCACTTTGTAGTGCAAAACGCTTAGATGAAGTTATGCAAGAAGTAAACGATTTTGAAGCACATTATAAATCACAGGAGTACGTCGATGTAGAACATTCAAATTCACAGGTAATTTTATCCACCAAAAACTATATTCCCAAAGTTCAACTTCTCCTATGTCTTGTTCCAGGATATAAGCAATAATACTGACAACACGGGAGGATTTTCACCTTTGGATCCTTTGATGGAAGACGAAGTTGAAGAAAATATATTCGATTATTTTGAAAATAGTATTGTAGATATAGAGAGAAGAAATTCTTCAGATTCTTATAGCTCTGATGAATTTATTATAGGTCATACCAGATATAAAGATGGTTTGAAACATACTATTGTATGATGTACAATGATCGAATTTAAATGTTATTTATTTCAAGTAAGAACTGTGTACAAAAAATTATTTATTTAAGCTATAGATTGTTTTTTCCATGTGACTAATTGAATTTCGTTAAGTAATAAAAGCAAAATTAATAAATATGGTGTTTGTTTGGTCTACCACAAGCCCAGCTTCTTTATCATCACAGGCAGCTTGATATCAGGAAGTATAAATACTAATTTTCATTTTAGAATGTTGATCTAAGTGTGTTTTTGAGTTAGAAATACATTTGATTGTATTGCTACAATATTACGACTTTACGATAAATATGACTCACAAAAATAAAGGACAACCACTGAGTTGCCTTCTAATCATAATTTCTTTCAATATGACGACTTCGCTCAAAAATCAATCTTTTTACCAAAAACCAACACCAATCTAAAACTGCAATTTTGAAAATATTTGATTGTAATGTAAACGTAAAATTTCATAAATCAAATTTTACCAGAAAAATTTTCTTATCATCTATCAAACTCTTCTTATTGACCCTAATAATACCACGTGTGCAGACACCCTAATAAAATCAGAGACCCCCTAGCGACAAATTCTGGTATTTAAATGTCAACAAGACGTTTGACGTTTCTGACAATCATATGTTACCTAACCTATTATAACCTCAATGTTTACTTTTATGCAATATATATAGATTATAATTTAAATAACATACAAAAGAAATGAGACCGGCAAATAATCAGGCTGCTCAAGAGGAAAATAATCCCTGTTTAAAAGTAGGAATAAAAAAAATAATATTTTAAACAAAAATATATAACGGAATTTATCTTTCAGGAACATAATTTATCATTGAAATGTTTGAATGATAATAATTACAAACACGATGCCTGTGAAGCTCATTTTGAAAATTACAAGCAGTGTAAAGCATTTTGGGTTAGAACTTTGAATATTACACAAATTAGTATAATAGAACATAACTCGATTGCTTTGAAGCTTCATATTATTTATATTTAATCCTTCTTGCAATATTTTTTCAAATATTCGTTATTCAAAAAATAATTTATCTATAAATTTGATCAACAATTGAGCATGAAAATTCTTATAAATATTTAATTTGCTTTGGCTCTTAATTTCTTTGAGAAATTCTTTCCTTACAATTTAATTATACTCATAAAATAATAAAAATTTGGCTAAAGACTGAGATAAGCTAACAACATATAATTTAATAATCTTTTCCTTGCAGAATAAAATAAAATCAGAGCGAAGAAGGCAAGGTATACGTCCGACATTACCACCTTTACATATGAGGGAACAAATAAAGCAAGAATATTTTTCGCAATTTAAATGAATACAATGAATCTTGTTATAAAAGCAATAGTGTATCTCATATAATTTTTATAATCATTTAATTCAATATGAATAAAATCTTAAATTGAAAATATTTAATGTGAATTGCAAAATTTAATATTGCTCACATATGCATATTTATATTGATAACATGAAATAATAAAAATAAAAAAAAACGATATTATGCAATAAATGATAATCAAGTTTTACTACTCACACTTTGAAAAAAAATTGAAAAAAATAATATTCTGGTATAATATAATCTTCGTCACTGCTGCTTCGTTTTATTATCCATCTCCAAAAATTAACTGCATATTTCTTGTGCCATTTAAAAGCTATCATAAGCAGGTGATTCGTATCAGCTTTGATCCAAGGGATTTACCAATGTCTACAAAAGCAGAAACGTATCTGCTGTTAAATTATTTATATATTTATTTAATTTAAAATATTTTAGTTTTTTCTATTAAATATTTAGGCAAAAATATTGGAGCTTATAATGTAAAATATAGCATTGAAATGGTTTTAATATTTAACCCCAACCTCATTTGGTGCCAAAAATTAAATCTGCATCAGGTGCTCCTTTCTGATGCTTGAATCGTCCAATGCCTTTAGCTCTATCTCTATTTGAATTATGATGTGTTGTTGTATTTTGTCTAGAATTAGCAGCTAACATTTCTTGGTAGTCTTCTTCTTCAAGTCGTTCAGTGATATTAAGTGTTAGTCTAAAATTATTTTCATAGCATATTAATCAAATACTTTGGTTATTTTTATAATTCAAGATTTATTACCGTTTAACGCGTTCCTTCTCTTCTTTTATTTCTTGTTCCTTTGATTTTAAATTAATGGCGAGTTGTGAATCTACGGGGGCACTGAAGCTTTTATATTGCTGTTTTGTGCCTTTTCGAAGCATTAAAACAAACGGCACTTCTTTACTTGTTTCGTTTGAAGCCACATCCTGCAGAAAACCATAAAAAATAAGAATCTCATGTTATTATAAGTGGTTCAATTATAAAAATTCATTAATGTTTAGATTTTCGCCGTGCGCTTCAGCAATTCTAATCAGAATCTAAGCCAAGAAAGTCTGTGCTAATATAAATTTAATATTGCTTGATATTCACCTGTATTTGATCATAATTCTTCTTATTATTCCTTGCTATCATCGGTACAACAATATCATCACGTCGCATCTTAGCAGTATCTTTAAGCCTTTCCTGGCAATTTTCTGCCATCATCTTATCCAAAGCCTGCAAGTAAACAAAATAATAATTTTAGCAATTGAATTTATTATTATTATTTGAATTTTGATGTCCAAATGTTACTTGTTGGAAGAGTTGATCTTCTTCAGTATCTCTTGGAGTAGTATTTAATAATTTAACCTTAACATCTTCAGTGCTACTAATGCCTTCTTGTTCAGAAAATTCTTCAGTTAATTCTTCATCATCATTATTTCTGAAAAATAGCATATTTTTTATAATAGATGTTTTACCAAAATGTGTCTATGATTATTATAATAACGTACTTCAAGTCCATCTCTGAATCTTCATGAGAATTCACTACATCTCCATCAGTTTCATCAACTTCTTCCCCTTCTGTTTCTTCTTCAATAGTATTCAATGAATCGGTGACATCATTCTCATTTGACTCTTCACCTAAATTTGGATATAACATCTTTTTCAGATTATCTATAGCCTCCTGACATTCCTCAAAAGAGTTATAAATTGTAATTTTTCTTCCAATTGATTGCAAACTATCCTTATACTCATGATCAAAAAGCAAAGGGTATTTTTCTGTCTCCCAAATTGGATCATTTTTCTTAAACCAATAATAGTTCTGGAAGAAAATCAAAAAGTAATCCATGCGCTTTCTACTGAGTGAGCTTGTGAAATATTGGGCACAAGTTTCGAGTAATACACATGCTAGTTTTAATCGAAACAAACTTGCAGGTGGATCAACTTCAGAAACAATATTATAACTCATGGTGACTCCTAAGGAAATGATGGCATAAAGTGTTTTTAGAATGTCTGCTGATTCTATGAGACGATAGTTATAAAGTTCTCCAAGATATTTAGCCATAGCTATTCTGCGCTGAGCAAATTTTGGTGTATAGTTTTCCAAACTATTCCTGATATCTTCAAAAACTCCATCAACTACTTTATAAACAGCTTTTTCTTGATGTGAACTCAATCCGGCAAGTAAATCTGCTAAGCATCGAATTAAGTGATATCGAACATTGTAAGCATTAGTTAGACATTTAATAGCATAGTTTGCAATGTTTTTATCATTCCAATCAATTTTCCGGAGTAACTTGAGAATTTTATCAATATTCATTTTGCACAAGTCTTGATAAATCAAGTTCCGTATATATTGATGGATGGGCAGTCGTACTTTTTGAATTACATTGGTTGAATCTGGTGGTCTCACCAAATAATAGACACTTTCTATTTGAGCGACATGCCTAGAGTCTAAAACAGATACTGTTTTTATTCTCATTATTTGTTCTAAATAAATTAAAGTTCTTTGTCTGCTCTCCATGTGATTATACAAATATTTTCCACAGACCTCTAAAAATGCACAAGCCATTTCAATATGATGATGTTGAAAGTCTAATAACAAAATCTTTAAACAAAATAGAGCTTCCATTTTAGAATACAACTGAAATTTAACTAGTTCTCCAATATATCTAACTACTTTTATTTTAGATTCTATATTTATTTGATCCTTTTTACGAACATGGTATTTAAAGTCTTGTTTTAACATTTGAGCCAAGTCATTGCCCACATCTGCATTTACTAAACTAACGGTTGCAGCCAAACGTGCATAAAATGGTAGTAAATCAAGTCTGGTTCTAGAAACACCAAACAAATTTTTAGCTAATTTTTTGCGACCGTGTTTAGTATTTAAGTTAAGCAGAAAATCAATTGCAGCACTATCAATCATTTCTTTGTTGACACAATTACATAAGTTAGATAAGAATGCTTCTAACATTTGTTTCGTATTTGATGGTGTGTTTTCCTCAATTTCTGTTTCAATTGTTTCTGTAATTTGAGTATCTTCATTTAATAAAAGATCAGGATTATCAGAATCTAATACCTCTGGAGATATTGTTGATATGTCTTCTGATTTCTTAAATAGAAAGGAAATATCTCGATTAATTCAATTACTAAATAAAAACTATTACAAAATATTCTTACCTCCTTGGCACAATAATTTGGTAAATATTGTCTAAGATCTGGTAGATCTTCATAGAATGCCTTTGTTTCATCGTCTTCCCAGGGATCCATAGGTGAAGTTACTGCTTCCACTATACCTAAAGATTGTAAATAAATCGTAAATTAATAATTATATATATATATATATATATATATATATATATATATATATATATATACTCTGTTAGGTACCTTCCATAACTCCACCTTCACTTTCTGGTACTATTTTCTCAACGGGTAATTCTGGCATTGGCAAATCTAACAACTCTGAAAATTGACCTGTAGCTGCAAGTAATTTTTCATATGAAGCCTAAAAATGCAAATAGTATAATAAACAGTATTTGATATAAAAATTATTCATATATTCACTATAGAAAAAATACTTGTAATGCATCTGTTTTATCTTTTCTGTCTGCACTGAGTTCTCCCTTAGTTTGCAAAGTTCGTCTATTTGCTCTCTCTAGTGCTTGAAGATTAATATGTTCTGTTGTAAGATGCTTGGTAATGGAAGTATAATATTCTCTTAAAATAGTTCTAACGTTATTTTGTTTTTCTGGTGGCAAAATGTTCGGTTTTGGTACTTCCATATTATATTTCTATAAAGGAAAAAGAAAATTATCTATATAACAATAAACACGCATACTCAATATATAATACCAATATCAATCAAAATACATATTTATTTATTTATCCCAGTAAACTTACTTCTGCTAATTGTCTTATTTTTGTTGGAACAAGACCTGCGTAATCCTCTCCGCAATGCTTACAAAAGGATAATATTGTAGCAATGTTATTATGCTCCTCCTTATCATTATTGATTAAAGTAGTCAAAATAGTTCCCAATAAAGGTAAGCAATTTTTATTCGTAAAAATTCCAGCGTTTATAAGCTCTGCATAAAGTCTTATATCAACTCTTAATTTACTAGGATTTGCAACTTTCTCATTCGGTTTTATGGTTAAATTCTTTTGCCAATTTTCAAAGAAACTTTGTGAAAATTCTGGGTAATTCTGATGTAAAGTACTACATAATTTAATAATAGCTGGAATATCAGTCATTTTGAGTTTTGCTTCCACAAGAGCTGCAGCGACTTCTGATATGTATTTTGTCAAATTCAACCCTGATAAATCTTTTAATAATGAATCTAATTGGTTTGCACTAAAGGTTTTTAATTTTTTGACAAATGTGGTATTTTTCTTTAAACTGGAATCTAGTTTTGAAAAATGAGAATCAGGAAGAACTTCGCAATTTAAGTTACCATTACGAATATCTATTTTATTCTGCAGTCGAATTTTGGTTTCTTCGATGTAATTTTTTAAAATTTCTAGATCATCAGTTTTTTCCTCAACTTCCATAGGAGTTGTTTCATCTTGTTTTAACTCCATTTTTGATCATATGATATTTTAAATAAATGTGAGGACTAGCTGTGCGATAAATAATATATTTTGTTTTACATTATTCAATAAATTCTTTATTTCGTTCTTGATATCTTTGATAACTTTATGTTGACGTTTAACAACCTAACCAAACTTTATTGAATAAATACGTTTGACACTTGTTGACAATTGAAAACATGTTCTGAAATATTTGACACTTGACATGACAGCTTTTACGCGCTTCATTTGAATTGTTTGTAATTTTCCAAAAACATACCCGTCTGGCATCCGGGGTGGAAAATTCTTCACTGCTTTCCAGCAGCATTTCAAATACAATATATCTGCAAAATACACGCCCGAACAGGGACTTGAACCCTGGACCCTTGGATTAAAAGTCCAATGCTCTACCGACTGAGCTATCCGGGCTCTGAACAGACAACTCCGGAGCCTGAAAGATCCTTCACTGCTTTCCAGCAGCAAATCTTATGATCTTTTCGGGTTCTAATATCGTCTAGAACCCTTGGACTCCTTGGACCCATAAATAAATAAGTAAAAATTGGATTAAATGTCCATAGCTCTACCAAGTTATCCGGGCTCCTGCAAGTCTTTGAAGGAGCCTTGAATAATATGCAATGAGTTTGTTAAAACCATGTTATGTTTACTTATCTATGGCTAAAGCCATTTATGCTAAAAATTTATTAACTTACAATACAATACTTATTCATTTTTTATTTAATTTTATAAGTACATTGTCGTACAAAAACAAACTACATATTGTAACTTCATATAAGGCAGCAATGTATTAATTTCATAAGTACCTTAATTTTATGTAAACATCAAAGACAAAAATTAAATGTTGATAAGGTACCTTTTCTATTAAACTTTATTTATAATTTGCTTAATCCATTCTAAGTAGGAAAAAACACCAGTAAAAACATCCGGTAAGCCTACGGCACAAGGAAATCCGAAGGAAACTACACCTGCTAATTTGTTATTAATTACAAGAGGCCCTCCAGAATCACCCTAATAAAAATAATATAGTCTTAATAAGGGAATTTTAAGTCAGTTATATTCTACTTACCATACAGGTACCAGTTCCGCCTAATGTTTGGGTGCATATTTGAGTTTTGAATATTTTATTGAAATATAGCCAGCTCATTTCGCAATCTAAGTTGCTAATCGTAACGGATTTCAACACCTGAATAAATACATAAATAGAAAACCAAAAACAAGATTTGCAAGATGCTAATAAATATTATAATTACTTGCAAATCGTTCGGCGAATCCTCATCATTAACTTTCTTGAGACCCCATCCTGTCACCTTTGCAATTTCATCATCCTGAACTTCAGTTTCGAGAAGTCCGATAGCTTTGACAGGGTGCAATAAAAACTTATCATTAAATTTGAATTCATCCTTGATTTTTATAAGAGCTAAATCGTGCTCCATGGTTTTAGGGTCAAAATCCTGCTCTGCAACTTGATCAACTTCGTAGACATATCCGCCTTCGTTTAATTTGTTAGTTCCAACCACAATAGTAAAAGCAGAACTGTAGAAAGTAACAACGTATATGCAACTATAATTATTGGTCTGATCCAAGTATCAATATAATTTGTTCAATTTACATGTTTTGGAAGCAATGTGCCGCACTAATAACCCATTTTTCATTTAAGATAGCTCCTCCACAAAAATGTGAATTGTTTTCATCCCGAAAAGAAACTTGATAAGGTGCAGAATATTTACCAGCTGGTTTACCTCCGACAATTCTATCTGCCAAAAAAGCCACTGGAAACAATAATATAATTTAAATTACTAATACCTAAATCATAAATTCTTTAAAGTCTGCATTTATGTGTAAAATTTTTACAAAAATAAAATTCTTATGAAATCAAAAATTGTAGTTTGGATGTAGGTACTCGAAGAAACTTTTTTTATGGTAAATGAAAACGGTATACCTATAAAGAATTAATTACCTGTTAAATGTAGTAATGAAAAACACGCCAAAAGCACTACACAAAAAATCTTCCCAATAAAATTCATGGTGTAACAAAAAATCAATTCAATCACATGTAATCAATAAATTACAGATCTTGACTTTGATTCAAAGGTGTACTGCGTGTAATTATTAAAGTTATATATAAATACAAATGTTATCTTTGAAAGTCATATGAAGCACATTGAAGTAATCTCGGATTAATATTGCAATAAAACTTTTTATTAAGGATTTAAAAAACTAATTTTAAATAAGGATTTAAAAAACTATATATTATTTATTATTAAAAATGATAAAAATATCAGACAATAGTCTAAATGATGGATTCGATTTTTAGAGATTCTTTTTCAAAATTTTTGGTTAAATTTTTAGAGAATAAACTTTGCAGAATAAATATATAACTCTAGTGGTGTGTGGCATCGTGCCTTAAGGCAAATTGCTGGAACTTCCCGTGCTGTAATGAAATATTCGAGAAATTTTAAACGTTTTCAAATATATTATTACAAATACTGTAACTTTAATTATTTTTGCTATCTTGGTATATCTGAGCAAATCAAATGTAAATCATAAATCAATTTATCTCCACAACATCAACAATCGTCATTTTATTTCGAATTCAATTTAAAAAAAAATAGTTGCATAATTTACACGAAATTGAAAATGTGCTCCCCTATAGTCACAGTTTAAACGCATTTGCAACTAATTCTGTGCGTCATTTTCATTTATACTGTGTTTAGCTTGGCGGCAGTTTCACATTTTTCAATAGTTTTCACAAAATTGGAAAAGAGCTCCTGTACAGAAACAGTCTAAACGCACTTGGGAAAACATTGGTACCAGAGTCGCGCTTAGACTGTGCTTAGACTGGGTAATTTTTTGAATTTTTCAATTTAAAATTACAAAAATATTTTATGGAAAATAAAAAAGATGTAATAATTTTTTATCCTCAAAAGCAATTGTTTTGTCAATACAAGCAGAAAGTTTTTTAGATCATTCAAACCGGACGCTTAGTTCACTCAAAAACTGCCATTTTTTGCACATTTAGCTCTGTATCTTCGAAATGGCGGGACCTGTCTTTGCCAAAAATTAATCACCTCTTCTTCCAATCATTACCAATTGAATCTTTTTTAGATCATTCAAATCGGATACACCGTACTCTCAAAAACTCGATTTGTATTTTCTGCATTCTTTGCTTCGTATCTCCGTAACGGGTGGACCGGCCTTTGCCAAAAACTAATCAACACATCTCCTTATCAATAGGAATCGAATGTTTTTTGAACCAATCAAATCGGTTAATCCGTGCGCCCGAAAACGTAGACGAAAAAATGCAAACATACAAAACGCACACACACACACCTACATATTTTCTGAGGTATGCCTTCAAAATGTTCAGAAACCTTCAAAACATCGAGAAATGCAAAAATTCTCATTTTCGATTTTCGGCCCATTGCTATAACTACCCTACGGGAAGTTAAAATAAAATATTGTAATTTACCTTAAGCTATATTTCTGTAAAATCTAGTAAATTCTACAAAAAAATCAAATCAAGTCTCTGATCAATCATCAAGTATCTGATAACTTTGGCAAAGTTCAAAATCTAATCAATCGATTTATCAATCAATTACTATCGATTAGGAAATTTGAAGTATCTTTTGTATTCTGGAAATTTCAAGTAGTTTGATAAGGGCATCTCAAAATGTGCATTTTGATATAAAAGATGGTGCAGAATTCGGGAAATGCAATTGTGTTACTGGATCGTCACCATGAAGACCGCAGTAATTTTCTCAGCACTCGTTGCCTTGTCTGCAGGTAATTATAATAGAAACCCATCTGATAATAATTATAATTTTTTTGAAAATATCCAACTGATATTTTTTTATTTTTTAGCTATTCCTCATTCCAACAGAGTTGTTGGAGGACTGGAAGCTGCAGAAGGTTCTGCACCTTACCAAGTATCCTTGCAAGTTGGTAACTTCCACTTCTGTGGTGGTTCAATTTTGAACGAATATTGGGTTTTGACTGCTGCTCACTGTTTGGGGTAAAAAGACCTTCAACACTTTCCAAACATTTTAATTCATAGTTTTTGGCGACCATCCACCTAATTTTATCAATTTTTTTCCCTCCAGTTATGACTTCGACGTGGTAGTGGGAACAAACAAACTTGATCAACCAGGTGAAAGATACCTCGTAGAACAAACTTTTGTTCACCAATTCGACCAGGAATCTTTAAGACACGATCTTGCTTTGGTAAAAGTGTCCAGCCCTATCGAATTCAATGATTATGTTCAACCAATTCCATTGGGCGAAACTTATGTTGGAGGCGGTGAAGTTGCTCGTCTTACTGGATGGGGAAGACTTGGAGCTAACTTGAATGGACCGAATGAACTCCAAGTAAGATAATAATAGGAAATTCAATAATTAGAAACATTTCAGGCTGTAATGCCTGAATGTTTGTGCTATTGCCAAATTTATTGGTAAAAATGAATTTATTTTTTTACTTCAGTCAATTGAGCGTTTTGGGTCTGAATTGTTTTACTGTGCTCCAATTTGCATAAAATGGTGGCAGAGTACAAATTGTTTTCACTTTTAAACTTGAGGTTAAGATGAGCCTAATTCCAAAATTTCATGCAAATCGGATCACAGTAAAAAATTCAGAGGTTAAACACTTTTTTCCTCTGCGTTTACTGCACTATTAATGTAGTTGTTATGTAGTTATATCACAAAAATTAAGATAATTTATTTTTTATATTACTAGGAACTTAACACTGTCACATTAAGCCACCAGCAATGTGTAAGACAACAAATTTATCCAGTATACGACAGCCAACTTTGCACATTTGTTGGCAGTGGACGAGGCGCCTGCAACGTAAGCAATTTTTTTATTTTTTCCGTTTTAATAAGTCCTCATATTAATGAAAAATCTATTTTTCTTATGATTTTTTTAGGGTGACTCTGGTGGTCCATTGGTCGTCAATGGAGAACTTCACGGAGTCGTCTCCTGGGGAATCCCCTGCGCCGTTGGATTACCCGATGTCTTCACAAGAGTTTCACACTACGCTGACTGGATTAGAGAGACCATGGAAAATAACTAATTTTTAATGGCATATTATTGTATTGTCTGTGATGAAAATTAATAAAAACGTGATAGATTAA